GGAAAAAATTGTCAGTTCATCTTTCTTAAATTGCCTTTTTTCCCCCTTAAATTTGTGTGATGTGACGGAAATTACCGTTGGGTTTTGAGTTGGGAGTTATTGTTCACATCTGTGTAACTCTTCGTGACCCTCCCTATTTGAGGTTTTCTTGGCAAAGATACTAGCGTGTTTTGTCATTTCCTTCTCCAGCTCATTTTACAGATGAGGAACTGAGGCAAACAGGGTTAAGTGCCTTGCTCAAGGTCACACAGCCAGTCAATGTCTGAGGCCAGATTTGAACTCAGGAAGATGAGTCTTTTTTACTCCAGGTCTGGCACTCTATCACACTGTGCCACCTTGCACAGTTGAGTTGGGAAAACTCTTCAAATCCTAGTTCTGATATTGTCTGTGTGACCCTGCGCAAGTTATGGGACCTCTCTTATCCTTAGTTTCTTCATCTGTCAGATGGATATAATAATCCTTATACTACCTGTCTAAGGGTTGTGGGTTTTTTTGTTTGTTTTGTTTTGTTTTTTGGTAGAGAAAGCACTTTGTGAACTGTAAGACTCCACAGAAAAGTGGGCTAAAAAACCTTATTTAGCTACTTTATTATGGCACAGAGGGGAGGCAGCATGAGGTAGTAGAAAGAATAATTGGATTTGGAGTCAAAAGGTCAGAGTTTGGGTCTTAGCTTTGACATTTGTTAGTTGTATGACTTTAGGCAAGTAATTTCCCCACTCTGGGCCTCATCTGTAAAGTGAGGGGGTCAGACTGGCTGCTCTCTGAGGGCCCTCTGAACTCTAAATCCTGTGATCCTGTGTCAATGATACTGGCTCCTCAAGGTTCCCTCTTGGAAGAATGCAAATTCTAGTAGCTCCTATGAAGCTAGAAGCAGGGTAGCTAGGTGGTGCAGTGGTTACAGGACCAGGCCTGGAGTCAGGAAGACTCCTCTTCCTGAGCTCAAATCTGGTCTCATACTTACTTGCCGTGTGACTCTAGACAAGTCACTGTTAGCCTCAGTTTCCTCATTTGTAAAATGAGCCGGAAAAGGAAATGGCAAACCACTCCAGTATTTTTGCCAAGACCCAAGAAGAGCCAGACGTGACTGCACAACAACAGTGTTGAGCTAGAAAGGCTCAGAGTACAAGCCCAGTAGTGGCATTCTAGTCTACGATAAGTCTCAAAGAGAGCAGAATGACTCATCACCAGAAGGGTGGCCAGGGGCATGCTGTTTTTCAGCCACAGAAAGTCATGAAGATTGTCTCCAAAGGTGTGGTCAAAGCAGGGGGCTCTGATAGCAGTGAAATCACAGATGTTTAAAGTATATTCATAGAGGTGTGTATAGTAGCTTTAATTTTATGTATCTTCTAAAATGGTACTTTTCTGTTATGTATTTCCCATCCTTGGGGGAAACCATCCACTATAACTGATGAGGCACTAAGATGGAATGAATTCATAGTTCCTATACATACATTTGTGAGCTTTAGGAAATGCAGGATGACAGAAACTCACAATGAAACAGTACTTTAAAGTTTACAGAATGATTTCCCCACAAGAATCCTGGAAGGTAGGTAGTACATTACTAGTGTCATTTTCCAAATGAGGAAATTGAGGCTCAGAGACATCAAGTGACTTATCCAAGGTCACAGGTTTTCATGTACAGTATTCTTGCTGAATGGTGTCTAGAATGGGAATATGGACCTGGAGATATGTACAAGGGAAGAGATCAACATGTCTTTTGGGGATCAGAAGGTTAAATCCCTTCCTCCCTAGCCAATCCTTTTCCAGTGATCCCCTGCTCCATTTTTTCTTTGGTTCTTTGCATATATCTATTGCCTTTCCTAGCCTTTTAATACAAATCCTCTGCCTAGAGCCTGTCTGCTTGGGGCAGGGAATTTTAATTGGTAGCCAGATGGTCACCTTCAGTGACTGCCTATTACCTCTAGGATAAACTCCTCTATGCCTCCAGCCTATCTTTCCTTTCATGTACTTTATATTCCAAATGAATTAATCAATAAGCATGAATAAGTATGAGAGGCATTGTGCTAGGTGCTGGTAATCAAATAAGAAAGTCACTTTCCTCAGGGGACTTGTATTCTTAGTGAGGAGACAACAACACACACACACATTCCAAATATATACAAAATGATTGTAAGGTAGTTTTTTTTTCTTTTTTTGAGGGAATATCCCCTAGCTGCTGTGGGAGTGGGAGAGAAACCATAATGGTCTTCATTAAGGATTATCAGCTAAGAGGCAGCTGGGTATCACAATGGATAGAGCACTGAGCCAGGAGTCAGGAAGACCTGAGTTCAAATCCAGCCCTCAGACACTGGATCTTTGGCTGTGTGATCCTGAGCAAGTCATGTAATTTCCATCTATCTCAGTTTCCTCATTTGTAAAATAATTCTGAGGATGAAGAAAGATAATATTTGTAAAGAGTTTTGTGAACTTTAAAGTATTATATAAATGCCAGCCATTATTATTAGCTCCTTGAATTCTGAAGTTCCATTTTCTAGTACATGTCTGTAGTGCCAGGAATGTTTCTCTCTTATCTCTACTGTTTGCATTTCTTTTCTTCCTTCATGTCTTATTCAGATACCACCTTCTTTGATTTCCTCCTCCCACTCCATTTTGTTAAGCTTCTATCCTTCTCCTGTTGTTAGAATGTAAGCTCCTTGAGGGCAAGACCTATTTCATCTTAGTCTAAGTGTCTTAGCACTCAGCACAGTGCCTGGCACAAAATTAAGTGCTTGATAAATGCTTGTTGGTTGCTTCATTGATTCAAATCAGCTTGTATTTATTTCTCTGTTTATCAGTTTTATTTCCTGTAGAACATGGCTTGAGGTCAGGGACTATTTCATTTTTTTTTTAATCCCCAGTGTCTAGCACAGAGCCTCAAATATAGTAGGTCCTTTGTTTAATTGCATTCCATTGATATCATGTGTCTTTTAAGTCTTAAATCCTTCCTCCCAAACTACTCCAGATTTATTCAAGTTCAATCTTACTTAAAGTGTGTGCTATCTTGATTTGAATTCTCTTTCATGATAAATCTTTCCCCCATATTTCTGATTTTCCTCACCTAACAATAAAGAGATAGATGCACACCAGATCAAGGCTTATTCTTTTCCTACATCTCTTTTAAGACCACCCTTCTTTCTCCCACTTCCTCTCCCGGTGCAGTCATCTCTGTGGGACTAACTCAGGGAAACAACAACAGTTTTTTGAACTTGGATTTAGCGTAAGGGGAAGCCCCAAATTCACACCACAGCTGCTCACCATGAAAGCCATCCTATTGAAATCTTTCATACCATATTCAACATAGACTCAAGGACTATCAGAGCCTGAAGAGATCTTGTTAGTTAGCTAATCCAACTCCCCCATTTTACAGACTAGGAAACTGCTGTTCACAGGAGGGTGTGTCTAAGGTTACACAGTCAATGACAGACCTAGTACTATAATCCTAGGTCTTCTGAACTCTCACTTCTGTGTTGTTTTTGTTATCCATGCATTAGTATTCAATTTATATTATGAAAGGCTTTTCAGACTTTGTCTTTTCCACCAAGGCTTTCAATAAATACTTTAATTCAGCAAGCACACAGTGAGTACCTATATGTTGTACAAGGCTCTGGAGATAGTACAGAGACAAAAGTGAAAACAACTCTTGCTTACAAGGAGCCTGCATTTTCCTAGGGGTACAAGACATACACAGATAAGTCAATTGCGTATGATTTCTATTTACAAAATTCATAGAATTTTTTGAGGGTGGGTGGGTCTAAAACAAGATGGTTTAAAGTAGATTTTAAATTCTATTCTTTTAGGAGTGGACGAAATCTTTAATTCATAAACGTTTGCCCAGATCTGCAGACTTGGCGACTGCCTAACAGTTGCCTACGCCTTCCTCACAACTACGTGAAGCTGCCCTCAAACCCTTACTTACATACGACCTTTTTCCTGGAGCAGGGCACTGTCTGAACTGAGAAATCTCTGGCAACAGTTAAGATAGGGGTGACTTCCTGCTATTCCATTGTTTATCTCTTCTACAATAACTGTGCTAACAACTGCAGCTTTTCTCCCACCCTGAAAGGGAGCCCTTTGCTAGACAATTCACATCCCTTCTCTGGGCTTCAGCTTCCTAATCTGTAAAATAAGGAGGTTACACTAGGTGATCTCTAAGACCCATTTGAGTCCTAATACCTTTTGCTCGAAGGTCCCTTCCAGTTCTGACATTTTATGTAGGTCCCTTTCAGCACCAACATCGTATGATTCTAAGTTTCCCAAAGTAGCCTCTAGCAAACCAAATCAGCTCCACTGCGCTCAGCTCCCTCACCTCTCCCCCAGTGAGGATGGTAGTCTTTCCATCTTCCGGGGGGAAATAAACTCCCAGGAGGAAAGGTTCTCTCAAAGTTGGGGGAGGAAATATGCCTTCATTTTCTGGAAATCTCGATGGAAAGACCCCATTTTACCCAGCAGGTAAACAGACAAGAACGTTGGGTAAAAACACAACAGCCAACTTAAATCTAAACCACACGAAAGGACGGTGGGATCATTTTTGCAGGAACTAGAATCCCAACATCAGAGGAAAGACTGCTAACCCCAGGGTCAACCGTAAAAATACAATGGAAAACAACCTTGAAAGGGAAGGATCCATCAATAAATGTGCACAAAGATGAATACCTCTGGACAGGCTAATAGCTTTGCCACGCGAGGTAGAGAAGATACGAACGGGAGAGCAGGTGGTCAACGCTCAAAGTTCAAACCATACGTTCCTTTTTCTCTCTGGCCACTCTTGAACGCGGCAGCCTCCAATTTCAGACGCCTGGGGGGGAGGGGTGTCACCAAACCTATGGTTTTCCCACCTTCATCCCAATTCCCCAGTGCTGAGTTCTAAATAATCTTGATCCGGGGCAATCAGATATTGTGAGATTAAGGTCCAGAAGGCCAGATGTGAAGACTGGGGGACGCGGTCAGACGTCTGGACCACCCTCCTTTTCCCTCCCCTGGTCTTGGGAAGAGCTTCTTACCCGCGGGAAAACTTTCCCGGCTTAAGCTCGGCACAGGAGAAGGAGGAGGTGAATAGGAGGGCTCTCAGCTTCTTCCCTGAGAGGCTCCAGCCACGGCGGGCGTGGTCACCGGGAGGCAGCCGGTGCCCCTTCCCTGCCCCGCTAGCCTCACCCCTCTTGGTTCTGCTCTGCTCCGGGCTCGGCTCTGCACTGCTCTGGGAGGGAGCCGCAGCTCCAGGCGTGGAGGCACGCTTGGGGGTTGGAGGGAGGAGGAGAGGGAGGGGGAAAAGAGGCTGGGTGCTGAACGCTGGGAGAGGAGGGAGGGAGGGAGTGTTTGAGGGGGCAGCGCCTAGGGACCAGAGCTTGTCCTACTCCCAGGGCCCTGACGCTCGGACTGCCGGGCTGCTTCAGCCCTCCCAGCACGTGCTCACACCTGCGTGGGCTCCTGGCAAGCGTCCCAGGGCTCCTTCACCACCACCCTCTTCCGCTGCCCCCACCCCCATCCCCAGCAGTGCGGGATGCGCGTAGGCATGCAGACCCACCCGCTCCCTAGCTCCCGGCTCCTGGCTCCTAACTCCTAGCTTCTAGCTCTCAGGATGTGACACTGACCCCAGCCCCCCGGAGCGTTCCAAGAGTGCGGGACCGCTTCCCAGATCCCTGGCCGGAGCACGGCTCCAGTCGCTTTACCGCGGGTCCCCGTCCTGGACAGGTCTCCTCCCCGGGAAACTGTTGCTTTGCTCACTGCCGCTGGCTCAGCTTAGGCGCTGCTGCTGCTGCTCAGCGTCAAGTTGTTAGGGGTGAGGAGTGGAGACAGTGAGTGCTGGGACTTGGTAGGAGCCTGAGGATCAGCGCTTTTCCGGCTTCTCTCCGCCGACCCCGCAGAGAGCGAGCTGGAGCTGGGCGCTGGGGAGGTGAGAAATCACGGGGCCACCTGAAGGGTGTGTGTTTCCCCTCCTCCCCTCCCCATCTTTCTCTCTCTTCCTTCCTCTCTTTTCTCCTCCCTCATCTTCTCCCTCCTTCTTCCTCTCCTCTACCACTTCTCACCTTTTCCTCTGCTCTCTCCTCCCTCCCATCTTTTTTCTCCCTTCCTCCTCTGTTCTTCCTCCCTCCTCTTGCCTCCTCCTCTTTTTCCGTCTTTTTATTCTTTTTCTCCCTCCTCTTTCCCGCTCCTTTGCCTTACCCCATCCTTTGCTTAGCCTTCTCTCAGCCTCTTCATCTTTTCCCATGCTCTTTTCCGCCTTTCTCCTTTCCCTCCCCCCTTCTCCACTCCCCCTTTTCTTCTCTCCTCCTTCCTCTTTCCTCCTGCTCTTTCCCTTCCCCCTCTTCCTCCTGCCTTCTCTCCTGTCTTCTTTCCTTCCTTGTCCCACTCTTCCTTCCTATCCTGTCTTCTTCCCTCTACTCAGTATCTTCCCAGCCTTCTTTTTCCTCCCTCTCCCTTCCTCCAGCCTCCTTCCTCCTTTTCTTTTGATTCATCCTCTCTCTCGTTTCTCCTTCTGCATCCCCCACCCTTCCCCTTCTTCATCCTTTCCGCCTTCTTTCACTCCCTCTATTTTACCTTTCCTCCTCATTCTTCCTCACTGTTCCCAATACTCTTCCTTCCCTCACTTCCCCTCCAGTATTCTCCTCTGCCTTCTATCTTCATCCTCTTCCCTTTTCTTCCTTCTCTCTTTCCTCTCCTATAGATTCCCCTCCTCCCTGTTGTACTTCCTCCACTTTCTTTTCCCCATTATCTCGTCTTCCCTACTCTCCCTCTACCCATTTTCCTCTCCCTTCTCCCATTGTTTACTTACTCTCTCTTCCTCTTCTACCACCTCCCCTCCTTTCTTTTGTCTCTTCTCTTTCCTTCCCCTACCCTTCCAATCCTACCTTCCTCTCATCCTTCCATTTTCTTCTCTTTCTTTCCCCTTTCTCTCTTCCTCCTTCCACTTTTCTCCTTTCCCCTCCTCTTTCCCTTTCCCCTATTCTTTCTTTTCTTCTTCTCCTTCCTCTTTCTTTCCCTTCTTCCTGCCTTATTCTTTCCCCCATTTGATCCCTTCACCTGCAATCTCTTCTCATTCCCCTCTTCCCCTTTCTTTCTTCTTTTCCTCCTTCTCCTACCTACTAATCCTCCCTCCTTCCCCACCTACCATTTTCCTTCTTCCCCTCCTTCCTTTCTCTTTCATTCCTTCATTCTTTTCCTTTGCTCAAAAAGCAAAAACAGAAAAAGATCCAGAAAATTTTTTTTTGAAAAATGAATGCTTGGCATAATGTTTTTGCATCTATTGGAGACCTGGAAAGAAGGTTTTTCAGCAACCAGCAGAGAGTTTCTTTTTGTGCCTACACAAAATAAAGTCATTGATTATCTGTGTGACCTTGGGCATTTCATCTTACCTCTTTGGGATTCAGTTTCTTCATTAGTAAAATGAAAGGGTTGGACTAAATAATGTTTATCCATTCCAGCCCCACTATTCTGTGTTCAAGGGGACGTAGATTTTGAGTTGTGTCAGACCTTACAGATCATCTTGTCCAACCACCTTCTTTTATAGAACCTCAAGGAGGTGAAATGACTTGCTTTCTTTCAAAATGAAGGGATCGTATAATCCAAAAAATTCCTTCTAGATCTAAAATTCTAGAATTTTTTTGAGGTTAGGGATGCAATGGGCTTAATGTCTAGGAAGTTCAATTATTACCCTAGAACAGCTTTTGCTAAAAATGGAACATAAAATAAGGAAATGAACACTGAGCCTACACGGCATGGTTATTGTTTGTGACTTTCAGTGAGTCATTTAACTACAATGAGTCTCAGTTTCCTCAGCTGTAAAATGGATATAATAATATTTGCACTATTTATCTCATAGCTAGGTTGTGAAGCAAACACTTTGTGAAATGTGAAGCACTATATAAATGAACCATTAATGATAAATGACAGTATGTAGTAAACTCATTAAATAATTGTCACTGTAAATGTACTCCCTTCCCATAACATAATTCAGATGGGCAGAACCAAATACATATCTTAGAGTTTATACTTCCCTCTCAAAAAGTTTTACATACTAGGATATTATTTAGAAGTGTAGTATTCTTTTTTTTTTAAGGCAATTGGGGTTAAGTGACTTGCCCAGCATCACACAGCTAGTAAGTGTCAAGTGTTTGGTTTGAGGCTGGATTTGAAGTCAGGTCTTCCTGTCTCCAGGGCCAGTACTCTATCTATCACGCCACGTAGCTGCCCCAAAGTGTAGGATTCTTAACCTTTTCTGTGTAACATAGACCCCTTTAGGGGCATCTTGGTGGTAAAGTGGATAGAGCACTAGGCCTGGAGTTATTCCTAAGTTCAAATCTGGCCTTGAACATTTGCTAGTTGTGTGACCCTACACAAGTCACTTAACCTTGTTTGCCTCAGTTCCTCATCGTACAATGAGCTGGAGAAGAAAATGGCAAATCACTCCAATATCTGCCAAGAAATCCTTGAATGGGGTCACAAAGAGCCAGAAAGGACTGAAAACAACTGAAGAACAATAGACCCCTTTGGCAGTCTGGTAAAACCAACGTTCCCTGTCTCAGAAAACTGTTTTAAAAATGGATTAAATAAAATACATAGGATTACAAAGTCAGACAAAAGTCAATGAAAATAAAGATATAATTTTTTCATATCCAGGTTCACGGAACCCCTGAAATCTATCCCATGGGCTTTAGGTTAAGAACCTATGGAGACAGCATATATGAAAGTGATTTGAATATTGTAATGAGGACCCTGTAAAGGCAAAGTCTTAGTTGCTGATCCCTCGGGAAATACCTTAAAACTGCTTTAACAATCAGACCTGTTTCAAAGTATATTGGGATTGACTCTGGGGAGGGCGAGGGAGGACCGCTTCAAACTTTAGAGCTGTAGCAGGGGGAATTTCTGATAGAGAGTGATTGGTCTAAAACTAGATGATTTCTGAGGCCCTTTCCAACTCTTGACAGTCTACAATCCATCTTCTCTCATCCCATGCTTCTCTGGAGTAACAAGACACAGCTTAGTGGCCCTGGAGAAGTCATTTCCCCTTTCTGAAGCTCAGTTTCCTCATCTGTTGCCTCATTTTAATAGTGAGCCTTGAGTTTTCCTTTTACCCACGCCACTCTTGTTTGGAGTTCCTTACCTTCCCTGATTTCCAGTGGTTTTGTTTTTTTCCCCAGAAATGCAGTTCCTGTTTGAGACGAGGACATTTGAAAAGTTTTTCATGGGGTGCTGCTTCCCAGGAAAACACTGGATCCAAGGATCCAAGGATCCTGCCTTCAGTTTCCCTCAGCCTGGTATGATGTGAGATCTTAACAGATTCTTCCTGAAGAGAGTGCTACAGTGTTATACTTTAGACCCAAACTCTAGCCTGCAGTGCTCCTGTTCTGTCCTTGGTAATTCTCAATTTTCCCTAAAGACTCTCTGGTTTTGCTTTAGTCAAGCTAGTCTTACAATCTCTACCTTCCCCCGGACCCAGGTTCATTCCTGACTCTGTGCCTTTGCTTTCACTCTTCCCTTGCAGGATACAGAATCCCAGTTGTGGCAAGAGACCCCAGAGGACATTCTTGTCTGAACAAGAATCTTCTCTATTTCTTTCCCGATAAGTGGTTGCCTAGCTCCTGCTTGAAGACCTCCAGGCCCAGGAGACTTGTTACCTATTGAGACAGTTCATTTGACTTTTGCCTTTGTCTTTTTCCTTCCCCTCTGCCTGTCTAAATGTATGATCTTTTGAGGCCTAGACCAGGTCTCACTTCTCCCATGACATCTTGCCTGACTGCTCCAGGCCTTTCTAATATCTCCTTTTCCTGTACTCCTACTACTTTGTACTCCTACTACCTTTTTCCTGTAGTCCTACTACCTTGTACTTCCTACTGCATTGCACAGTATAAGCACTAAGTTATGTCCTACCCTATGTTGTTTTCTAATGGTTTCACTTATGTTAGTCTTTTTCCCCCTTAAACAGACTACAAGCTTTTTGAAAGGAAATACGTAGTACTTTTTTTCCCCATCTCTCCCTCTTGCTCCTCTCCCTGCCTAATCTGATGCCAAGCACAGGTCTAGGTACATAGTACTTAGTCATAATTACAGAGTACTTATTAGTACTAAATTGTAATATAGTGGAATGCCAGAGAACATAGAATGTTAGAACAGGACAAGACCTTTGAGATCATCTGGCCTAACTTCCTGATTTTACAGATGGGGATACTGAAGCCCAGAAGAGAAAATGATTTGCTCAAAGTTAAATAGCTAAGTAGCAGTGGAACAGGAAGTAGAATCTAGGGCTTTTATTTCCTACCCCCAATGCCTCAGGAGAATGTAAGCTCCTGAAGAAAGAAGCAATATTTCATCTTTGTATCTCTGGAGTCTAGAATAGTGTCTTGCACACAGTAGGGGCTAATAAATACTTGTATTAAATTGTCAGATGCTCTTTTTGTTATACAACGCTGTCTCCAACTCATTTTTCTTGATCAATGTTAAATCATATCAACACAGTTTGATCCCAGAATCCCTCTCTCCCTTTGACCTTTTCAGGTCTTTATAGATATCATGTTCGTAATAAACCATTAAGCAACACCTCTTCTCTCTTCAGTGGACCTCTGTCTTCCCTCAGGGGATCCATGCTGAAATCTAGCCTTGGAGTGCTATCCTGGGAAGGTTTAGTGCTGTGTTCCTTGAACAAAACTTACAAAAACAAACTATGGTGCTTGACCATAGATTTGGCTTCTAGGCAATAAATGTAGCTAGCTGTAGTAAGTCATAAACAAGTCTGCTAAATTGTGAAGAAGAGAGAGGGAGCTGCCATGCCAAGTAATAAAAGATTCATTATCTTTGATACTGTGTACAAAATACTGTAGGTGCTAGGAACATACAAAGTTCAGGTACCCCCTATCCTCGAGGAGTTTATAATTCAGGTAACTGGCACTTTAAGAGTACTTGCTGAATGTTGACAATAGGGAAATCATAACAAGGGGTAGCAATGTGTCCATTTGGATGAAAAGAAAGGCTGAATTCAGGATCTCCTTCTTCTTACCAGTAAGACTTGGAGTTGTTTTTGTCCCCTCACTTTTCTGGGCTCTTCATTTTGCTCCTCCTTCAAGTGAGTGAGTGAGTGAGTGTGTGTGTGTGTGTGTGTGTGTGTGTGTGTGTGTGTGTGTGTAAGGGAGGGGTTAGACTAAATGATTTGTATGGTTTCATATAGTTGTAAATTATGTGACCCCTGTGATTTTTTTTGATCCTTCAAGTGTCACATGTTGACAAATGGTATCCCCTCTGCCCCAGATGGAGAAGAAATGCTTCTATTCTTTGCTCTAATCCCTGAAAATAACGATATTTCTACCTCCTGCCAGTCCTTTGTTGAATTCCAGGCTTTCATTTCTTGGCACCAGGCTAATGCTCTCCAGGCCAGTGGGGCTGCCATTCGTGAGGGCTGGTTTTGATTTAGAGACAGGAAGAAAGAGATCAATTATAGTGTGCTCAAAATGAACAGGGCAAACAGCTCTTGGATCAGTCCCTTCAAGGATCTGCTTTGCTGAGGACCCAGACCTGATCTAGCTCTGAGCTCCTAGCCACAATGCACCACTTGGAGAATTAGCATTGCTGCAGTGGAAGATTTTCTGTCCCCTCAGTCATGACTTTGCATTGCTTCTGGGCTGCTTTCCCTATTATTTCATTCTGATTGGAAGCCTGGTTTGCCCTCCTCTGCCTGCCATTTATTTCCATTTGTTTCCAGAGGAGAGTGAAGATGGTAGGCCCTGTAGCTGCTGACAGCCAGACTGCATCCTTTCAGCTTCTAGCACTCTATACTCCTCCACACCTCCACACAGAGACAGACTTGAGGCCTGATAGCATCTTCCTTTCCTAGCAACAGAGAACTCTCCCAAGCTGAGCCTTTGGGACATCAGCTAAACAGTTAGAATGAGTCCTTTTCCCCCGGTGCTGTTTTAACTTGTTTGGGCCTGCCCTTCTACAGATAGGCTTTCTCACTCCCTTTTTCTGAATAACAATTTGGCAAATTCATTAATCATTTATTACCTATGAAGTCTTATACTGGATACTGGGGGAAGAGAGAAAGTTTTAACTGAATTGCAGTCCAAAACCTCAAGAATCTTACAGTTTAGTAGGTTGGGATAAGACATCGATACAGATAACTCCACACTGGGGTAATGGGAAAACCCTAAACTGGGGGTCAGTCCTTAGCTGGATTCTAAAGGCAGTAGGTGGCTCCATAGTGCACAGAGTGCTGGCCCTGGAATCAGGAAGACCCAACTTCATGAGTTCAAAACTAGCACCAGGAACTTACTAGCTGTGTGACCCTGGGCAAGTCATTTAATTCTGTTTACCCCAGTTTCCTTATCTGCAAAATGAGCTGGAGAAGGAAATGGCAAGCCTACTCCAGTTTCTGTCAAGAGAATCCCAAATGGAGTCACGAACAGTTGTACACAACTGAACAACTGGATGCTAATTTGCCTTGGGCAAGTCTCTAGGTCTCAGGTGTCTTCTCTGTAAAGATGTTGGACCAGAGAATCTATGAGGTAGCTCTGAATACTTACTTACCTAGTCACTCATTCATGCCAAACAAATTTCTTAGGTGTGTGCAGAGCACAGGTCACTGCTGTCATGGAACTTACTCTTAGAAAGGAGATTAAAAAACAACAACAACAACACTAAAGGCAACTGAATACACAACAAAATAGAAAAATGCACCAGAGATGCACAAAACAAAGTGCTATGTGGCATCAAGAGGAAAACTTCCTGGAGCAGGTAGCATTTAATTTCAGCTTTAAAGAATTGGTAGTGATTTAACCACTGGAGAAAGGACAAAGCAAACACTGTACTAAGAAACAAGAAAGTATAGGGCAAAACAAAGAATTGTCTTTTTTGGCTGGAGCTTAGAGTGAGTAGAGTGAGAATGAGTAGGTAGCAGGGATGAGCCTGGAAAGGCAATAATAACAAACTTCTACAATTATATCCTTCCTTACAGTTTTCAAAGTGCTTCTACCCATATGTTCTCATGTAAGTCTTACAATAACCCTGTGAGAAGGATAAGGCATAGGCACATTTTCCCTGTTTTATAGAGAAGAAGACTATCCTACCCAGTCATACAAATAGTTAGCAGCAGAGCTGGAATTAGAATCTGCTCCAGTACCTCATCCTGGGACTAGTTATAGTTAGTGATTTTCTTTCCTCGTTTTGGAACCCTCAGTAAATGTATCCAATGATATCAAGGGGTCTCATGAAATTTTTAAAAGGTCCTCAAAAAAAAAACTCAGACTCACTTCAGTTTTCAAAAAGTCCACATATAATACACAACATTTTTAAGAGAAGGAGATGTCAAAACCTCCCAAAGATGGTGGCATCTCAGGGTTCTACTAGCCCTCTCAGGCTGCTAGTCTGAATAGTAGGACTTGAAGCCTAGTGATTGGGCAGGTGAGAGCCACTTTGGTTTCCCCAGAACCAGGGTAAGCTGGAGCCATGTCAATATAGAAAACAGTGTGAGTCCAGATAATTAATTGGTTCACTTGATCAGTAAAGATGGCTAATTCTTATCATTGCCCAAAATGATTATTTTTGGAGGTGCCCAAGTTGTTTAGTTGAACCTATGTTAACTCAGGGCTGCTAGGAGGTGCAGTGGACAGAGTGCCAGGTCTGGAGTCAGGAAGACCTAAATTCAAATGTGGCCTCAGATACTAGCTGTGTGACCTTGGGAAAGTCACTTAAAGCTGTTTGCCTCAATTTCCTCAATCTGTAAAATGGACTGGAGAAGGAAATGCAAACCACTCCAGTGTCTTTGCCAAGAAAACCCAAATGGAATCACAGAGTCAGACATCACTGAAAAGCCACTAAAAATGGCAAAAAAGTTAACATGATGATTACCAGTTGTCTACTTTGTGCTGTATATACTCATCTGTTGTGTCTGTCTCTTGAACCTGGGATCCAAAGACAGAAGGAAGAAGCTATTGAACAGGAGGCAGCTTGATCTAATGTAAAGAGCTTTGGACCAGAAGACCTTTATCTGAGCCTTACTTCTGTTTCTAGCCACGAGAATCCTGGCCCTTCTTTGGGTATCAGTTTTCCCGACTGTGGTATCCACCCACATTTATATAGCCCTGATTTTAAGGTTTGGAAAATGCTTTCCACATGACCATCCTGTGGGAGAGGTAATGTATGTAACAGTAGCCCCAGTTTTTTGATGGAAAAAAAACTGAAGTTGAGAGGCAAAATGATTCGCATAGAACATACAAGCAGGGTTTTCAGCCATCTCTTTACCATGTTGTCTACACTTCTGTCATCATCTCATTTTCTCTCTCTACACCCCCTATAAATTCTTGGATTCCACTGCTGAGTCCCTTAATTATGATAGGTTGTCTCATCTTACCTCAAACTGGACCTCCATGCCACTTCCTGCCCATATCCTCATCATATTGTCTACACTCTCACATCATCCTCATCTTCCCCTCCTGCATCCTTATTTCAACCTCAGACTTTGACTTTGGCTCCCTGACTCTGAGTTGTTGTCTAATCTTGCCTGCAACCAGGCCTCCACACCACTTCCATGCTCATCTATCACTTACCTCCCCGCCTTGATGTCCCCTTTCTATGTGTTTTCTTCTTTCTTTAGCTCCTTGATGTCAAGGACTCCTTTGCTCTTTCTATTTATATCGCTGGTATTTAGCACAGTGCTTGGCACATCGTAAGCACTTAAATGCTTTGTCAGTTGTCTGTCTATCTAGTATCAAACTCGAATCCAGGTTTTCTTGCAATTTTCTGAGATCTTTTCTCAAGTACAGGGATTCATAACCCGGATTCATAACAGACCCATGAGGGTCTGCAGATAGATTTTAGGGGGTCCATCAACTTGGGTAAGAAAAAAAGAAATATTTTCACTAACCTTTGGTTTCCTTGGTAATCCTATGTATTTCATTTTATCTATTTAGAAACATTATTTTGAGAAAGAATATAGACTTCACAGATTGCCAAAGGGGTCCATGACAAAAAAAGGTTAAGGATCCATCTACTAAACTGTATTTCTCCTCTATAAATAAGAAGATTGGACTAAGTGATTGCTAAGTTCTCCTTTCCGCTCTGAAATACCATGATTCTAGCATCTGATACTTCCTTCCAAATATATTATTGTCCCTTCTGCCCAATAAGTTAGAAGAATATCAGAGGCCCTGGGAGCAGTCATCCCAGAAGAGATGGTCATTAGCATGTGAAGGGGACTCTCTTCTTCTTCATCTCAGAGAGAGGATGCAAATGGAGCTTGCTTCTCAGGAGCAGCAGGGTAAACATTAGGGAGCTAACTCTGTATTTATAACTCAACTGAGGGGCAGCTAGGTGTCACAGTACATAGAGTACCAGCCTTGGA